GGGAAAAAAAATGGCCGCCTGCTGTGTTTAGGGATGGATTCCTCGCTTACCGGGCAGCGAAAAGGGCCGCCGTAGGGATCTTCACTTAAAGGTCCGTTTTAAGCCCATAGGAATGCATTGAAGGGTTTCAATGCATTCCTATGGGCTTTTTAAAATTGCATAGCAATGAAATCTCTTTGCAGCGATTTTTGCTGCAACGATTAACGTCGCTATGCGAGGCACCACTGTATTGAAGGCCATATATCAGGGCCCAGGAAGAAGATACATCAACATACCAATAGATAAGGGGAAATGGATACTCTTGTCACCAGACTTTCAGGCACATCTAGGGCTCAGGTCAAGGAGAGATGGAGGCACAATTTGAATATCTACATGTAACCAATGGATTAGCATAGTTGGTAATTACCCAATGAGGGACTGGATCCAAAGTTGGGGTACAATTGACCAATGTAATTATAGCATTTTATGGCTCTTTGTCTGCATCATTATAAAATGTATGTACTCTATATGTTCGGGATCTTTTCTGCTTTTAAGGGAAGTCCCAACTGACCTTTCTTGCTCTTTGCTATCTAAAATAAAATCGGACCTTTGCTCCAGCTGTTGCGTCTATGCCTGATTCCTTGCCGGAAAACCGAAACCTAAAATTAGCCGGTAACAGTTCCATTGAGATAAAAATTATATGTACAGTGGAGTCCTGGGCCCAATAGATTATGTTAGATATAAACAATGCTTTTCTCTGTCTGCGGGGTCAGGTGGGGCTTGGAATTGATCCCCCGCAGTGGTAATTCATTCCAGCAATTGGCACTGTTGGACTTGTGTTGGCCTATGTAAGTAACATGATTCTGGCCAATAACTTAAACTTAAAATTCTGTAAGAAAGTCACTGTTATCCCCGTATTACAGATAGGAGGAATGAGGCTTGACACAAATGTCTCGTTCCAGTTAAAATGCGTAAAACAACCATGTCCTTCTTCACTTGAAAAGAGAAAGAGTACTTTACTTTTAGCACATTACTTGCCTTGCAGAAATCTTCTGGTGGGTCCAGATCTACCTTCTGTCCATCCCTACTGTCTGTTAGATCAGGATACAGTGCAAAACAAGCAAGCAAGCAAACAAAACAAAACAAAACAAAAATCACTATTGTGCCAATGATGTGAGTCAAGGCTTTTGAAGGTCAACCCAACCACCATGGCACTCAGATACTGTTCGTGGAAACTGAGGAGCCTTAGAAAGAGCCTCCAGTGCCAAATCTTATGTTCCAACTAAAGCACCCTATGTTCCAGCACACTCCTCATGCATTTTGTGGATGCACTTATGTCTACCTCAACTAATGCTGTGCCTTCCAGATGAGTATGTTGGTAATATATGATTGGAATTGTAGTCTAGCCATCTGAAGGTCCCCATCTTAAGACCACTCACTTAGGTACACACATAGACTTATGCTATACACACTTTTTATTTTGCTAATGACAATTATTTTAGGAGCATTTTAAAACAAGGCACAATTGTAGCATAGCAAAAAATGGTCCCACTATGCCTCCTGCAATGGACAGCCATCCTACCAGACACATAAATTGTTTCAAAGGAATAATGGATCTCCAAGGACTCTTTCATGGATTAAGTGTCGAGAATGAAATATTGTATTTTGACTTTGGTAGGAGATTAAATAATAGTGAATATAAAAGACAATAACTGTGATCTCTGAAAAATATCCAATTAATTTTACTGCCACCTCAACCTCCTAAGCACTTTAAGCTGATTTCTATAGGACATTAGGATTTCAAACATACAATCAAACAAAATTTGAAACATATATATTAACTGTACAATTGCGCTTTAAGTGTATAGTAAAGGCAATAAAATCAGATTTGTTTTTTATTTGAAAGAAGTCCATTTATAGGAGTTTTAGGAGCAGAAAAATTATTTATCTTTTTGAGAGAGGGACTTGCAGGGGCCTGAAAGCCTACATTGGAGGGTTGCATCCTACTGTATTTTAATATAAACAAGTAAGATGACAGAAGTGCTATACATAAGAAGACAAAAACAGACAAAAAATTAAGGAAAGAATTGGAAGTACATGAAACAATGTAATCATACCGAAATAACTGAATGTTTGGATGCTTCTTAAAGCCAGGAGCAAATGTTTGCTATCAATTCATTCCAAGCAATGGGAGTTAAAGAGGGAGGGCAGGGCAGCTGAGAAAGACAAGTGGAAATCTGATGATTTGAGGCTGTGTTTTTATTGTTTTGCAGAAGCAATGAAAAAGGAAGCTTCTAGTCCTTAGGATTATGCATTTATGCATGAAAGTTCACGAATAGTGCCTGATGAAAATTCAGGGATCAAAGCATTAGAGCAGGGTGGAATCTTTTGCCCCTAAGTTGTTTTGCAAAGACAACTTCCATATATGTGACCGGGCAAAGATTTACTACGCCAAGAGTAGCTTTTTAGTGCAATCCGTATAGGTCTTTGCAAAAGACATGACAATGTAAATGGATATACTGTAATCTATAAAAGTGACATCATTGGGAGTGGCACAGAGTTTAAATTTGCTAGGTATAGAAATTAAAGTGTATCTGTGAAGTATTATTTTCTTTATAATTCCCTTACCTTCCACAAGAAATGCAGCATTTTCAAGAGTAAGGTCCATCAGTGGCTATTAAAAAGGAAGGTTCCTAATTTTTCCATATAGACAAACGTTGGGGATGACCAAAAATCTCAATGCCCTATTTGTGATCTCTCAGAGCCTCTTGGTTTTCTACACTGGAAACAGAATGTTGGAAATGAAGCTCACATTCATTTGTGCACTTACCTGAGGGCAAATGGACGAGTGAATGCCCACTGGACTTACTTCTGAGTAGACATGCATCAGATTTTAGTGCAGATAGACTTCCATCTGATTCAGCAAGGTGGAGAATTTTAAGCACTGAAGGCACTTTTGTTTTGCATATTTTAATCTGCAGTATTTCCTCATCCCTTTCCCCTTTTTAAGAAAAAAAAAGTCATGTATTTAGCTGAACTTCTTTTACACTATTAAGGGTGAAATCCTGCAATGTTTTGCATCTGAACAGTAGTGGGAAGCACAGCAAAGGCAACCAGTGGGCTTATTCACAGGTAAGCAGCGAGCTCATTTAGCATCAGTAAGAGAAACGTTGCTAATTAAATCTGCCTTCAGTCTTCACGTTAGGCATCTTATCACAAAGAGCCTGAATTTATTCTATGGTTGGGATTTGATTTACAGGGCTAGCAGTGAGACTGACAATAGAAATCAAACTGCACATTGGTTTCTCAACACTCCAGGCAAGTGGGTCAATGCTTCCGATTGGTTGTCCCAAGAGAGAAGTAAAGAGTAGCAGGGGGAGGACTTATTGTGGTGTAGTACACCCGTGCTAGCAGTTGGATCAATAGCCTCTATCAGCAGGGCTCTATTTAATGAAGCCTGAACTGGAGGCACAGGCCTTGCTAACAGCTGCAAGTTAACACCGATACCAATAGAAACGGCCTGCAAGTCCAAATAATTGCTTCATTCTTTCCCCCTCCCCGCTCCAAAGAGATTTATGAAGATATTGTATTGTGTGCATAAGGCAACTGGCTGTAAAACTCTGAAGAACTTTAGGAGGAAACTCTCAGGTCACAGGAAGGCCAGCGAAATACAGTAACAAGGCAGCAGCCTAGCTGTGCCATTTTCCCCTTTTCCTTTCCATATAGTCAATAATCTTGTGAAGTTGTCAGGGACAATGTGATTCACGTTTATCTTCTAGGACACAATGCAGAGACTCACAAATATGGGAACAGCAGTTGTTAGTCTGGGACCCTTTCTTTGCTGGTGGTGGCCATTTCCTCCTAGAATGCCCCTGGAAGAAATAAATGTCTGGGTGTTCTGGAGAAAATGTTGGCTGCAAGGAAAGATGGCAGGTCAGTTCTTTTGACTGCTACCTCCGCTACAGATAGTGACCAAAATGTGTAAAAGTGAAAAGGTTAACAAATAAGGAAGAACGTCATGAAATGGATGAAGCTCAAATGAAGAGGCATCAAAGAACAATCTGTTAAATAAATATCAGACTGAATTAACCTGTTTCAATTACTTACTTCAAATGACATGTGTGCCCATAGAACCTCTGAGGATCTCAGCTCTCAATCACATGCAATTAGTAGAAAAACCCAGCTTTGTATGGGGTCAGGAACTCTTCAGTTCCCTATCACAAAATGTTCTTTTCTCACCCTACCAGCACCTTTTTCTTTCATGTTAGTCTTTATCTTCCTCCACCATGGCGCTTATTCAGCCTTTCCTTCTGATCACTCCCTCCCTGTGATTTACTTAGTAGAAGTCATCTTTTTCTTTGTCTTAGCTGTTGGAGAGTTTGAGGATAGTGCAGAAGAAAGCACAGAAGAAAGCACTATCTGGAGCCGAGTAGGGACTACCTAGAGAAATTAATTTCCCACACCTGTCTACAATTTCATTCCTCTTCTGTTCAGATTTAGCACCTAGTGGCCAACAGTGGTACTAAAACTATATACAGATTTTAATTAACTGAAATAGATGAACATCTCCTAAATCCCCTTAGTGTTTGTGCCAGATTGTAGTTTTGGAGTTATGGCGGAAACACACACTCACAACATGTGTGTGCACACAGAAGCACTTTTTTCATTACAGGAAGCTTTTGCCAAGAAGTTGGGATAAAACAGTGTTGACAAAAATATTTTACCACCTTTTTTGTCAACATGAACAAAGGTGTGACTGAATATCTGAATGGGAGTGAATATCGCCATCCACACACATCTGATGGGTACTGACTACTCTTTTATTTAGCAGCTGCTATATATGAAGATACAATATTTCCTCGGATAAATGACAGTCATCTTAAAGGGATGATAGAAATGGATCTTTAAAATATATATGGTGCTCATTAATAACTCTAAATAATCAGCTTAACTTTCAGTTAAGCATATCTTTCAGCTAAGCACTTATGTAAACCTTGAAAAACAGAAAAAATCGGTAAAGCTTTTTAAATTTACTCTATATTTAATTTGTGCATCCTTTATATTATTGTACAACATAAAGAGTACAATCCTTGTGTACAGTGGGTACAGAAAGCACATATCAAAATAAAAAACTTCACAAAGATAGAAATATAACAGTGCTGCAATAATACTGAATATAAGTTGAAAGAAATTTATACATATTTTGGTTATTAAGCAATACATTCATTCCCAAGAATAGGCATTCTTAACATGAACAATGGTTTGGTTAAAATAAATATAGGAAATGTTGGCAGTAATATCTACACGTAATGTGGAGCCTAGAATAGTACATTCCATTAGTGCCAAGCAAAAAATTAAGGCATTCATGAAGGAATAATTGTTACATACAAGTTTACACTGTTGGAAATGCTTGTCCTAAACGATACAGCAATTGAATGAGCAGTTGTTTCATTTTTAGCAGGAAGAATCATAGGTTCATGTTTTATTGGGATACTGCTTGCAGCTAGATAAAATAAAATCTCAGTGAAAAGATTCCCACTCCTGGTTTCTTTTGGTCTTCTTCCCCAACACTTCAACTTATTACTCTGGAAGGAAACAGATTAAATATCAACCCCAGCCCCTGACTGCCAACTAGCCCCTAAAATACTGTATGTTCATGTAGTAATTATCATGGGGGGGGAACACTTTGAGCACACATCAAGCTGGTTTGTAGGGGGAAAGTTATGGGATCCAAATTTCTTTTTAGCTTTACAGGATACATGCTAGGAGGAAAGGTGAAATATTGACTTGCAATTCATTCCACTTTCTACAGTAAGTACAAGTAGTCCCATGTTGCTCCACAGGTCTTTCAAAGTAGGAATTTCCCTAGGGCATGGACAGGGAACATGTGGCCTTTCAGGTGGTGACCTGCAATTCCCCACAGTCCAACATCTGGAGGACCTCCCATTCTTCAGACCTGTCTTCAGAGATGCGTGTTAGCAACTAAGGGGTAGTAATGCTGGCACGGAAAGCTCCCACTGTACCAACCTTGAATATACAATGTCATCCTATTTACATTATCAGACTGGTGCAGGAGGTAATGACTCATGAAGAAGATTATTGCTTTTCCAGCTTCACATCAGTGTGAAGTGGGACTTTTGTATCATCTCATGGGTGCTTCTGAGTCCTCAGAGAGGAAGGTTGTACTGGCAAGCAGAAGGGATGATTAGGCAGGACAAGATTCACTACAATATGTTTCTGTTGTATAGCAAACCATTTGCCACTGCCTAATACCTGTGTGGCACTGGTGCCTATTCTCTTCTTCCTGATAGGACATAAGCTAACTTCATTTCCAGCCCCCCATTAGCACGTGTATGAAACAACAGTAACATTCTTTTGCTTGTTTATGAACTCAGCTCAACTTATTAAACACTATATACATTATCAGGAGTGCATACATTCTTATAAACGTACTTTTGCTTTGCATATAAATCATCTTAATAATCTTCAGAATTACAACTAACACCATCTCCTTCTAGAAATAACACTTTTGCAATAAGGGACAAATTGGATTTTTTAAAAAAATTCAGGAGTCATCCCTACAGAAGGTGTGTTGTTTACTTCCATGCTAAACATACAAAGGGCATGACTGCTGGAGTGCTTGATGGTGAAAATCATGCTCCTTTGTTCAGTTTATCAGCTTTCCTTCCAAAAACCTTTAAAATGCTGTAAACGAGGAAGGGTGTAGGGGAGTGGAGAAACGTTCACAATGATCTGTCCTTAAAAAACCACACCCCCACAGTAATATTAGGTAATGAAGGTTAAACCGTTACAGTTAAAAACATCTCACAAGTACTCCTTTTTATAATTAGAGTGCTTCTTAATAGCATCATTTACCTGGGAAACAAGCCTTCAGCCAACCAGTCATATCCCAACTGCAATTGGGATAAAGACACAGACAGATGGCACATTTCTGTCCTATTCTTGCTTTATAGAGCTAAGGGTTGTGAAGCCAGAAGGGTGAAATCAGCTACATATACCATGTTGACACAACCCTCTGCTGTGGAAGCTCTTGTACTAAGCAATCTTGGCAAGGAGGTTCTAGTTCTACTTGAGATCCCATATAGGTAGGGTAGGGCTGCAGTAGCCATAGTGCAACAGGCCAATAACATTAGCACCAGAGATTCATATGATTTTGCTTATACTGCATAATTTTATAAGGAATATAACATTAGAAAAACCTTAACATTCCAGGGGATTTGTAAAATCTGTTGTGATTAATATTTATGAAGAAATACTGATAGAGAGGGACACAGAGTGAAATTCAACTGCAGTTGCTGCTGAACTAAAATTCCCATCATCCTTCACCACTCAATGTACTGGCTGCAGCCAATGGGAGTTACAGTCCAAAACATATAGTTGGCTATGTTTCCCATCCCTGCTGAATGGTGCCTTTTAACTGTTACCTCTTTGCAGAAATTGGATGTAAGTTACTATCTCACACTCCCATTCATGGTCAACTTGCACACTTTTGACACTTCACAAAACCTGCAGAAATCTGACTAAACCTCTATGTACATCATTACTTAGAATTACAATATAAGGCTTTTCCATTCCAGAGTAAATATTATTTCAGGCCCAAGAAATGGAGAAGGATCTTGGGCGCCAGGACACATCATCCAACTGATAATGAATTTTACTTTGGGATATTCTAAACACTAACAGACACTACAAAAATGAGTGCCTCTTTTTGTACCCACAGCTAATTTTTTTCTAGAAACAAAACAAGTACAAAACATATAATGAATTATTCACAAAGCAAATGCAATACAGAAACTTATCAATGCCTGGCTGCCACATGGATTGTTTACTGCCAGGAGGCTTACCTGTGTGCAGTCACAACAAATTTTCTGCACCACCAGTGTGCATGAAGGTTAAAAGAAAAGCTATGTGCTGGGACTGATCCACAACATGCTATTAAACTGTCACACCTATGCAACTTCAAGCATCTTCCAAATGACAACCAGATTTATAAAGTGTGCTTCAGGCACAAATGCATTGTTCTCCCATAAACATCTAAACTGAACTAAGTCTCACACAGAAATTAATTCAGCAGAGCTTGTGTATAACATTATAGTCTATAATGGCTTGGCTATGAGCTATACTTGATGATAGGTATAGATTTGGGGAATAATCCAACAAGAGTCGAAGGTAATGTGCAAATCCAGCATTCTTTCCTACTCACCTAGTAAGTTAAAAAGCAAGGCACTACATAATACAAATTCTTAAAAACAAATTGCAAGGTTGAGTTAAGATAACTTACAAAGACATAGAAACAAACAGCTGGCCAATATATTTTTTCCAGTGTTGGATGATTTCCTACAAATAAAACTCAGAATTTTCACATTCAGCAACTGAATGTTCAGCAGCCAATGAAATATTTCTATCTACACTATCTTGACAATCAAAACTGTAACCTGTAAAACTCTTTTTAAAAAATGTATTAATTAATTGCCTTGGGAAGGGAGAAAGGCAAAAAATAAATTGGCTAATGGACAATAAACTCACTAATTGTGCTGATTCAGCACTGCTATACATTATTAAAAACAAAGAACAAATTCAACAGTTTTGTTTAAAGAAGTCTAACAGCTCTGTTCACAAATACATTTTCAACTGTGATATGTAGAACTAATTACTGAAAACATATAAAACATTAGATTTTTTTCCTACATATATATTGCAAGTATTACCAGTTTCTATTCTACTTATAGTTTTTGAAAGTATTTTATTTTTTTTAAGTAAGTAGTATTAAATTATAAGCTCTGTGACAAAATTGTTCGATACATTCATTGCATGTAACTATATTTAAGGCAACAGGCAAACAGAAAAAATGTGGAGGAGTATTTATTTGTACAACAACACTTGAAAGTTTCCAGGGTGTTTATCTTCTTCTTGAGTTGCCAGGTTTTTTTTTAGCTAGTTGCAGTGTGTGCATGCATACGTTTAGCTAAATCATAAACGTAGGTAATATCTGGTCGCTTCTCCGGATCTGGGTTGATGCACATATTGACTAATTGCCGTAGCTAGAAAAAGAAAAGAAAAAATGTAACTAGAGAAAGAAAAGAAGGAAAAATGCACCCTATGGCAAAGTCTTTGCTCTTCCCACTTTTTAAACCATTAATACTGTAAAAGTACATTAGAGTGGCAGTAACAAACAGTGTTCTCTGGGTCACAGAATTTACTACATCATTTGTTAGGTACCTTCAACCGGAGTAGTCTTAACTTGTCTCACTGAACTCTAGTATTTATCTAATGAGCTAAATATCTTCTAATAAACAAGTGCAAGATTCACACAAAGACCACAATCCAAAACAAGTCAATTGTGGTTTTTGTTGTGCTTAAGGACATCTAACTCTATGATAGCTTTGTATTTCAATCAGCTGATTTCCCCCTCCAATTCTCTTAGCAAGAATAATCTATAATTGCATCATGTGATTGATCCAAATTATTTTACATATGGACAACACACACTGAACAAACACAGAAATTAGTTCCACTCTTAAATGGCAATGGTGTGCCTTTTTACTAATTATTATTTATTAGAAATACTTATCAATTGCTTTTCCATTCAATAAGATTCACAAAGCAATGATTAAAAATAGATTTTTTTAAAAAATTGAAAGCCACTTTCAAGAACCAATGCCCGTAATAAGTAACACAAATTTTGGTTATTTGACAGAAGCTCATCAAGGATGAGCGTGACTTCTCCTATAGAGAAACCCCCATCTCATGTACTCATCAACGTAGCACCTCAAGGGTAAAAATAGGACATGCAAGAAGGCTTCCATTGAAGGTTCCAAATCCTGTGCAGGCTCATAATTTCAATCATTTCAAAGTGTAATGTTGAAAGGGACTATTATACCTGCCTCTAAACAGTGGAGGAAGGATATCACATGGTTTTGGTACTACCCTGTGTTGTGGGAGATGAAGTGAAGACAATTCATACAGGAGTTTGTGTTTTGTTTATATAAAATAAAACACATGAGACATAGGGAAATGTCAGAAGAGCTCTCTATTCCCCCCCTAAAGTGAACAATATTTACTGTTTATTTATACATTTATACCAGCAGTATATACTATAATGAAGATGTCAAAGGTGCATCAGCAACAGAATGAAAAATGGTTCCTGATTGGGGTAGCCGATTTCTGCTGAGCAAACAGTACAGAGGAAAGGCAGATGAGAACTTTGCTCCTGTTTTTAATATCTTGCAAAAAGCACTACATAAAATCCAAGGATCACAGCTAAACTATTTCCTAGAAATGGAACAGAGATCTGGAGTGGAAGCCATGAACTTTCTCAGTAACTGAGTACAAAGCAGTGCATGCAGGCTCCTTGTAAATCTTTCTAAATAGCCTCTCTGAAGCTTTTTGCCAAAGTAAAATAATAGTCCCTTTCTTACCGTCCAAAGGCATGCTATCATCATGAAGCACTTTCTATGTACAAAACCCATAGTAGCAACATGTCATTTTGGAAGATGTGTGGTAAGACAACAAATGGCCTCTTGCTGAACGGGGTGATACAGGACTGCTTTCCTCACCTGTTGTCAGAACTATCTATTTCCACAAAGTGAGGAAACTGTCCTATTATTGTGGAGCTAGTAGCATTCATCACATATGCTTGATCTGGGGAGAGAGATGCTAATGTGAATTAGACTGAGCTGAGATGTCAGGATAATGCTATATTCTAGGTGGGATAGCAATATATTCCTGTCAGGTATGGGGTGAGCAGCATGCACTGCAGAAGGCAGTAGACTGGGACAGAACCTAAGTGGGAGAGTGTGCTCTTGTTCCATTCCCAAGCAACACACTCCTTCGGCTTTGCTTATTCTCCTTAACCTTCTCTGTGAACTTAGCACAATGACAGTATTTTGCCTGGAGCTTAGCCTGGCAGTGGGTAGCAGCAGGATGCTTTTCTTTTCTTTTCCTTCCAACCCCCTTGAAGTTTTCTTACTAACAGGTTTGTCAATCTCCAAGTAGGGCAGAGGAAAGAAAAGTGTCCCTCAACTCATAAAGAGGGACCAAACACCCTCCAAACAAACATACCATAGTTATCCTTAGGGATGGGATTTTTGGATTTTATGGACTACAAAATACCACGATTCTCCATTATGGGAGTTCTATCTATCTTGTAGATACTTTACAAACATGAGTAAATTAATGTTTGTGAAAGCAAAGAACTCTTATTTAAAGCAGGAAGAAGCACTGCCCATTCCAAAGCAAGAAGTACTCATGTCACCTCATGTACTGTAATTCTTCATTTCCAGAAGTGCTGCATTGTAAACTTGCTGATAAGCAAAATGACCCAGTGGTCCTTCTAGGACCACAAATTGTGGTAATTTCTAGTATTTTAATTTGTTTTTAATTTTCCCCCAAGCTCTTTTTAAAAGATGCTACTGAAAATCAACCCTGAGTGCTCACTGGAAGGACGGGTGCTGAAGCTGAGGCTCCAATACTTTGGCCATCTCATGAGAAGAGAGGACTCCCTGGAAAAGACCCTGATGTTGGAAAAGTGTGAAGGCAGGAGGAGAAGGGGACGACAGAGGACGAGAAGGCTGGACAGTGTCATCGAAGCTACCAACATGAATTTGATCCAACTCCGGGAGGCAGTGGGAGACAGGAGGGCCTGGCGTGCTCTGGTCCATGGGGTCACGAAGAGTTGGACATGACTTAACAATTAAACAACAACAACAACAACATTGAAAATCTGGTGGCTTCATGAACATATGAAGCTAACTCCTTCTGAGCCACCCACCAGCCATCTAAGAACAGTATTGTCTCCTCCCCTGGTTCCCAACCTTGGGTAATCTAGGTGTTCTTGGACTGCAACTCCCAGAAACCCTTGCCAGCACAGCTGGTGGTGAAGGCTTCTGAGTGCAGGCCAAGAACAACCGTATTATCCAAGGTTGGGTACCACTGGTCTACTCCAAAGCCTTTTTGGGCGTAAAAATAAATTCTATTCATACATATCCCAATGAGCAAACAGGCAAGGAAAGCAAATTGAGGAGGAGGAAAAAGCACTCCTGACCCCTTCTGTCTCTGGTTCTTCTGTGTTCCTGCCCATGGGGAATGATGAGTTTGAAGGAGAGAACCTTATATTTTTTTGTGGATCCTGCCCATGTGAATTAGAACCCCATTTCCCCTCTGATTCACATGGAGACCCCTTGGATAAATAACAATACAATTCATTCATTTCCCTCCCAAGTGCAGGAAGATGCCAAAATGACCACGGAGGAGCAAGGACTTACCCTCCGCTTGTGTATTTGCTTAAAACAGCAAAAACAAAACAAAACAAACAAACAAAAAGCAAGGACTTACCCTCTGCTTGTGTATTTGTTTAAAACAGCAAAAAACCAAACAAACAAACAAAAAAAAACCAAACACACACACACACGCTACAACAGGGCTTCTGCCTTTCTAGACATGTTATGCCGGAACTAGAATGAATATGACTTCAGATCTGATAAGTAGGCAGACAGACAGACAGACAATATATAAATTTTTTTTTATAGTGATAAGTAAATAGATAGATCTAGATTCTGGATCTTTCCTATATCCCCATGTGGTATCCCCATCTCAGCTAGCTAGCTACTTTGCTGAGTCAGGTTCCTAGCAGCAAAGTCAAAGGTCATGGGCTGAATTTCCCACCAGGCCTCCTGGGAATAGAGTCAGTCTATATGGCTTTGGATAACTTACATGGCCGCAGAGCACCCCATGAAGATGAAAATGAGTTCTCTATATCAAGAAAACCATGGAAAGAGTCACCCTAGATCAGAATTGATTTGAAAATACATAATTATTATTTTTAGGGATGGGATTTTTGCTGGACTACAAAAATGCCACAATTTTCAATTCCAGGAGTTCAACCTATCTAATAAACACCTGAATGTGATGCAACTGGAAGGAAGATCTGAATGGGAAGGTTTTAAGGTTTAGTTATACTTAGCTTCGCCCCATCTGTACTAGCTGCCAGCTTTCTTTCTGATCACCTGGACCTAACTAAGCCTCAAGGTTTTCCAGTTAGACCTATCTTCCAAGTGCATCACCATTCAGGCATTTGTAAGGTGTCTGCAAGGCAGGTCAAACTCCCAGAATGAAGAATTATGATATCTGGAGTCCAGAAAATCTGAAAATTCCATCCCTAACTACTATCTCACTAGATTTCTCCAGAAACAGGGCTCGCCATACTTGAAATGAGAAAGCACTATGCACCTTTCCTTCTTTGTGTCATTATTGAATTTGCCACAAGAAAAGAAAGGTAGAAGAGGTGGTAGAAAAACATTTTAGTATTTTATTAATTATAATTCAATACCACACCATCTAGAGGTTTTGCTACTACAGCATGGATAGCTACACATCCCATCCCATAAAATTTAGTGAATGAGGCAGAACCATGGCATGAGAGAAGTCCCACTATTCCAGAGAACATTGCTGCCAGTACTCCCAGGTGAGGGCTATGATGGTAGGAGAGAAGCAGTGGGTTCATCCAAGGATGTGTACTGAAACTGGTTTCCTTTAAACCTGATTCACATGTTAACTGGAATCAGAGTTGAGCACTGAGATGACTGTTTGCTGACCTGATAAAATTATTTAAGCAGTAAAATAATTTCTCCAGACTAAGAGAAATAGGTTTAAGATAGTAAGAATGGTATAATGTGAGTAAGTTTAAAAGCAATGTCCTCTTATTGGGGGCAGGCATTCCAATTTTGCATGTATGCTGATAGGGCATGAGCTGATTAGCCAAGAACAGTTCCTGGGATTATGCTTGGCAGCTCAGTAAGATACAGCTCCTATACAAAATCCATATCAGAGATCCTCAGGAAAGGAATTTTAAAAAAACCGAGCTTGGGAAAATTCATTTTTCTTTATCTCCAATTCTGAAATTCTGGGAGCTGTAAAAAGTTAGTGTTTCCAAGCTTCATCAAAAGCAAGCCTTACAATATCAGAATGTTTTATATAACTGGGTGCCAGTTATTGGCCACCACATAAACACCAGATATTGCTGAGACTACCTCTCTTCTGTTCT